AGTTATGAACTAAATAGAATAAAAACCGAACTAGTTATAAACTGAATCGAAAAAGAACCGAACTATTTCTAACCCGAAACTGTTTTCAACCCGAAACTGTTTGAACCGGGATAAAAACCGTTTACACCGAACTGTTAACAAACCGCAACCCGTCTACACCAAACCGTATACTACCCGAACTGTTTACAACCCGAACTGAATTAAAACCGCTCAAGAATAAACCAAAACCGAATCGAACTGATAACTATTTAAACCGAACTGAAACCAATCCGCGAGACACTTAAAGCGATTTCAAACCAACCCGATTTCAAACCGAACCAAACCCGAACTGTCAAACCGTTTTGACAGTACTATATATATATATATATATGTAGTCTCTTAATCTCTATAATTACTTAATAAAAATCCTATTAGAAAAAAAATAAGTTTTAGTTTTTTAGTTGTATAAAATTTGATAAAAAAAATGTTGTCTAAATATTTTGAGTTATTTTATGTAAAAGGAATGGCATAACTATTTTCTTATATATTCCATTATTTAGATAAAATATCCAATATTAAGAAATTGGTTTTAAAAATTTATTTAAATTCTCAATTCTCATTCTTTGTTTTGTTATTTATGTGGTGATTGAATTTTTTTAGTTCAAATTTCGATGGTATTACTCTTTTCTAAACTAATGTTGGTTATTTATATTTTTCATGTTTTTCATTCATACAGTATTTATACAAAATAATCTTTAAAAATTTAAAGATAATTTTACTTTTATTTAGTTAACATTTCAAATTGGTGTGATAAAAAATCAAAATTTTAATTGTTTTCTTTAGTTTTTGTTTGAGTTGTTTATTATCCGTGAGGTTGAGTGACAATAATCCAAAAGTTATGCATGGTTAACAGAATTAGGGTTTGTTTCCTAGATTAATTTGCACCATTAACTTCCTATAATAAGAACTAAAATGTGTGTTACAATTACGTCAAGAAGTTGAGCCATTAAAATTTTAATCGATCTTTGTCATTGTATAAGATACAATCGAAGTTTTTGTTAGGTTTTTTTTAAAAATATATATATATATATATATATATTTTAGTTTTATTATCCTAATGGAATATAGTTGTCTTATAAATAAAATTTATTAGAAATCAAAAAGAAGTCATATAATCTATCAATTTTATCTTATAAAAATAAACTTAATAATAAGTTGTTATTTTCTCTTATATTTGGTTCCATTCTTGTCACTCGATTTTGCTTTCCAAAATCTCGCTCTATGGTCACTTTCTATTCTTTTTTACATACCCTTAGAAAAAAAATGTAGAATCTAACAAGGTTAGGTCTTGTGCTATGCAAGATAATTTTACGTTATATAATTATAAAAATTGTTTATGTAATAAAACTAACATGGACAATGTACGCCTATAATATATTTATTTTGTTCTTAATTTGCAATTGATAATGAGATAAATAACGGAATATAATGTAAAAATCGATTAGACAAATGACTAAAAACAGTACACTAAAACTAAATCTTAAACATCTAAGTGTTCAAAAATTTTGATGATATATAACTTAATGGAAAAATTGAAAAGAATAATCTCACCTTTGACACATCTGCTCAAAATAATCCTAGCTTTGCGTATTTCAGAAATAATCCCACCTTAACACCCCATGTGCTCAAAATGAGCTTTTTTTTACCTACAACCGTTTCAACAGGTAAATATTTTGTTTTTTTTTAAAAATAAAACCAAGAAAAAAAAAATCCCAAACACCCTAACCCAGCCCCACCCCATTATTGGCACCGCCCGTCCCCCACCATTTTCCACCTTACCCCCTTCATTCAACCACCATGACCATCACCACTATACTGACCACCTTTCCCACCATCACCACCAAACTGACCACCAAAGATGCAAGCCCAGCTAGCCCCGTCACCTGAGCCACCTGAGATGCAGCCCTGTCCCGTCACCTAAGCCAAGCCCACATAAATCTCACCAAAGCAGTGCGGAGAGAGATTGAAAAGAGATCTGATCAATCGCCATTAATTCTGTTTTGTCAAGCTATGAGGTTTCGACCTCAAATCCCCAGCCCAAATTGTCGGAGAAGGGGCTGCCTATGTCCAAATCCCCTCTTAATCTTTGAATCAAAACACACCTGAATCGAATAGATTGGGAAACAATTGGCGACACCAGTCCAATAGGGGAGGGAATCGAGGAAGGGGAACGGGGAAGGGGGAACGGGGAAGGAGAGGGAATCGGAGAAGGGGAGGGAACAAAGGAGGGCGGCTGGTCCGGATGTTCTAGCGGCGACTGATTTGTCTGTTTCGGCGTCAGAGGTTGTGATGGTGGTGATAAAGGGGTGGGAAGGGGGTTATGATGGTGGTGATAAAGGGGTGGTGGCAGGGGGTTGTGATGGTGATGATGGTGGCGATGAAGGGGGTGGTCGTGGGGCTGAGAGATTTTTTTATTTTTAATTGTTTTAAAATTAGGACCAATTAGAAGGTGACAAGTGTCAAGTCACCTTCTAAAAAAGATTACCAATTTCATAAACCGGTAAAAGGTTCATTTTGGGAAGATGTGTTTACAAGGTGGGATTATTTCTGGAATTCAAAAAGGTGGGATTATTTTGAGCAGATTGGCAAAAGGTGTGATTATTCTTTTCAATTTTTTCTAACTTAATTAGTATCATTTTCCTTTTTATTAACCAAATACCACGTAAACCATGTATGACACCCTATAGACATGAATAATAACCCTGATTTAACGATAATAACCCCAAAGTATTATTATATCAAATATTATATTGAAGATACAAAAAAAAATAAAATAAAATAAAAAAATAAAATAAAATAAAACAAAAAAAAAACTAAATTATAATCAATCAAATTGTCTTATATATGATTACATATATAGTTAAGTATTTATAATATTATTGGTTCAAAAAAAAAGTGTTTAAATATTACGTTATGTTGTTATATTCTATCCCTTCGTTTTTATGTTCTTCGTATTAGAATTGGGCAAAAAACCAAATAAAGAAAAAAAATTAGTTCTGATTAAAATATTGAGAAGCTAAATATTGCACCACCGAAACATAAATTAATTATGCATTTTATACATGTTTATTATAGTGAAAAATATAAATAAATACTCTGTAAGACGTGAATAGTCAGAAATTTTAAAATAATAAATAAGAACATTTTGAAATTTCTTAATAGAAAATATTGGAAGAATAAAATCAACAAATATTATTATTTGGGAAATTTTACACAGTAACCCTCAGGTGTTCACTTTTCCACGTTTTGCCACCTCCTTTTAAAAATTCCACACTATAACCTCAAGATCCATTTATTGATTACGCTGTAATCTTGACGTTAAGTCGTTAACCCTCCATTACATGTTGCCGCTAGTGGGGCCCACTTTACACCTATTTAATTTTTCCCCTCGATATTCTTGATGAAATAACGCTTCGTTAATGATTTTAGGGGTAATTGATTTTAGTCCTTAAGAATCCAAATTGAGCTCAGATTTTGCAAAAAAATAACGTAAAAGCCCTGTTTTGTGAATTCTAAATTTAACTACGGGAATCCGAATTCACAAAAAGGAGCTTTTATGTTATTATTTTGCAAAATCCGAACTCAATTTGCTTTCTTAAGAAATAAATGACCCTTAAAACCTTTAAGGGGGTATTTTTTAGCACGAAAATCAAGAAAAAAATAGGTGTAAAGTGGGCTCCACTAACGGAAACATGTAACAGAGGGTTATTAATGGCAAGGTTACAGCATAGTCAATAAATGGACCTTGAGGTTGCAGTGTGGAACTTTTAAAAGGAGGGGGCACAACATGGAAAACTGAATACGTGAGGGTTATTGTGTAGAATTTCCCTTATTATTTTAATGTAGTACCAACCATCATACACAAAAAGTGAGCTTATATGAAGTGACTTAAGGTACGATGATTCATTTTTTTTTCCATTTTTTTAGAGTTCAAGAATATATATCTATAATTGTAACACCCCCTAATCTCCCTCTACAAAAATACTAATATAATAAGTATAATTATAATATAGAGATAGACTTAGACATATTACTGTCATGTGATAATATATGGCTATTTCAAAACTTCACTTAATCTTGTAGCGGAAAACACAACTCTTCTTTATTGAATACTTAAAATAGTAACCATCACTAGTAGAAAAAGGCTCATTTGTGTCACTCATTTATAGTGTATTTGCGTCGCTTCTATGAGCGACGCAACTGCTCGCGACGCAAATGATTTAAAAGTCATTTGCGTCGCTCCTAGGCGCGACGCAAATAAGAGTCATTTGTGTCGCTCCTTTATAAAGGAGTGACGCAAATGACTCTTATTTGCGTCGCTCCTTTATAAAGAAGCGACGCAAATGACTCTTCTGATAAACTTCTTTTTTGTTATTTGCGTCACTCCTTTATAAAGGAGCGATGCAAATGACTCTTCTGGTAAACTTCTTGTTTGTTATTTGCGTCACTTGTTTATATAGGAGTGACGCAAATGACTGACTAGACAATACAAAATTGATGTATTTGCATCACTTGTTTGTTTAATGAGTGACGCAAATGAGGTGATTTTTTTTTTTTATAATTATAATAATTGCCTTGTATATGTTTGTAGTACCTGTTTTCCTTACTAGTGGTATAAAGTAATATGCTAACGCTATATAATTGAAATTAAAATGCAATATTATTGAATAATGAAAATGTAAATTTCGGCAGAGTCTCCTTTGTAATTTGGCCTACCCATAAAATTGGGAATGACGGCATTATATTAACAACCTGTCCAATAATTTACATCTCAATATCATAGACATTATACTCATCATCCCAACACCAATTAACCAAAATCATTCATTTCAAGCCTATAATCCAAAACAAGAGTCCAACATGCGCTAAGTGTAAATCTAAAGTTCAACATTACATATAAAATACTCTGCCCAAATATCTCGAATCTCATTTATCTCCTCCTCGGTGTGCGGTGCAGTTCTTGAAAAATCCTATCAACACAACAAATATACAAGAGGAAAGTTTTAATTCAAGATTGTAGCTAACATCAAATTGTATTTATCAAACAAAAATGAAATATTTGACAACTCATACCTGAATAATATTCTCACTGCTATGGTGATGTTCAAGTATTTCGTACATATAACGCATGACGTAGTAGCCACACTCACGTCCACCCAATTGTTGAGGACACTACATGTAATATATTTATAAGTTGAATTAAATTGCTATACTTAAATTATTAAGAAACTAAAAGTTAGGGTAAGAAATTAAGGTAACCTGTCCCAAATGCCATGTCAATTTAATTCCCCTAGATTTTCCACTTAATGCTTTAAAACTTTGAAAAGCACTACACATTTGAAACAAATAACATATATATTACCCTTACACACATAAAATCATGACATTAATAACAAACTAGACTTACTTTGTCATTGCAAACTTAATTACTAAATTTCGCTTCTGCCTCAAAGAATCAAAGATGATGACTTCACGCTTAGCCATGCATAAGACCAAAAGAACCCAATGATTCCTACATAATAAATTAGACACACATTTGTAAAAGAGTAAAATAATATCAACAATTTGCAAAGTTCAAATAAATACAAGTTCAAAGTTTATACTTTTCATGGTATGGGCATAAGATGAACTGCTTAGATTTTTGTTTTTCCATCACATGTGTCATGTATAGTAGGATACGATCAACATCACTATGCAAATAGGTTTCTGAAATCATTTCCGGACACATGAATCCAATGGAAGCCACTTCCTACGTATCGAGTAAGTCACTCAAGGCCCTACATATATATCATGTAATAACATTATAAATGGTAATAAATAAGTATATATGGGAAGAGTGAAATTTGAATATCTTACATCATAAAAACTTGCAAAACTGAAATATTCAGCCAAGCTCCTTAGCCGGAGACCCTTTCTTACACAACTCACCAGTATCATTCATCTTTTAACGAGAAACTCCACACCTTGGACCCTCATGCAAATCAGCATACTCATTTCGATACAACACACAGTCATTGGGACAAGCATGTATCTTCTCATACTCCATACCCAAGGGGCACATAAGTTTCTTGGCCTCATAGGTGGAGTTTGGAAGTTCATTCCCGTCGGGAAACATTTCTACTAAGGCTTCTAACAACTGCGTAAAACCCTTATCGGTCAAACAATTGCTCGCCTTTAAGTTGAATAACTTCATAATAGCACCAAGTTTAGTGAACTTTGTACAACTAGGATATAACGGGGTTTCTACAGCTCTCAAAATACTATCATATGTCAGGGGACACTCTGTGAAATGGTCTTCAACATCATGCATCATTTCATCTATTTTGTCCTTCTCCACTTAACTCTCACTTTCAACACCAATATCATCAGCTATATCGATATCCTCACCTTGGTGTTCATTATCATGATCACAATGATTCTCATCTTCCCTTGGATAATAACTAGAACTTGCCTCATTATATATGCTCTCACCATGCCATGTCCACCTCGTGTAGTTTTCTTTTAACCCACAACGAATTAGATGATCTTTAATATCAACTATATCACGATATCCCCTCAAATTATTACAGTCACAACAAGGACAAAGAATAATCTTTGATTTATTCTCTGTTTGGTGTTTTAAGGCAATAGTGCTAAACCCTTAAATTCCTCGTAAAAAACTTGTACAATTTCGTTTACCATACATCCAACTTCGATCCATTTTCAACCACTGAATAACAAAATTAATTTTAAGATAATGTGTATATTTTGTAACATATATAGCTCCTTAACCATAAACAAGAATATAAGGCATCAAACATTTTCATTCAAAGTTTATATCATGTAAATGCAACTCCGGATGATCCAATAAGGTCCTTATCACTCCAACCTAACCCATTCTTGAATGTCCTATCTCACTAATAACTACTTGTAAAGTTTGGTTCTAAAGAAAATACGGCAGCATTTCCCTATAGTTCTCCAAGCACACAATGTAGATAATCGGCTATCAACATATGTACCCAGAGAACAATCGGGAAATAGTGAGCCATGATCTTCTTAGACCCAAAACAATTCAAGTAGTTATCACCTAAATGAGATAGAACATTCAAGAACAGTCCCAAACCGGGGACTATTCAAGACTTTCTCCTAATAAGTAAGCCCTGAACGGGTATCTAAGCCAATGATGCAAGTATTATAGCAATTCCAATCAATTATATCACAATTAAAAATCTCATACAATTCACAATCAATATACCAACAAGAACAAATAAGTTAATATTGCAAAGAATGGTTCAGATACATATACCACAAGTGAAGACAATCTCGTATGCGTACTACCGCCTTAATCGTTTGTCCACAACCAGAACCTCGAGCAACTTGTGGAATTCACTTCCGCATAATTAAGAATCTGCCTTAAAAAATTACATATATTAAACCAACATAGTTGATTCAACTTAATCTGCCATGTGACATAAAAGTTGTTATTCGGCATTGCTTATTAGCCAATCATGGTGTAAAGCTTGAAGACCTGAAACGAGTGTTAAGCCATCCGCAGGTATTTAGATCTTATACTAATCCATGTCTTTATTGCCATCAAAGTTATATTGCCATCAAATTCCAATGAATAAAAAACCTTATAGCAGCTATATATAAATGAATGTAACAACATTGCTAAAATTTGAGGTGATGATTTTAGTTAAAAGGTTAAAATTTCCACGTTTGTTATGAGTTGAAATTTGTGAAATCGTGACATCCAATCCATAAGTTCAATTAATAAAATTCCCTATATATATATATATATATATATATATATATATATATATATATATATATATATATATATATATATATATATATATATATATATATATATATATATATATATATATATATATATATATATATATATATATATCATCACCTCAAATTTTAGCTCTTCCATCTATTAATTTGTATATGGTAATCAAGATTTAGGATCTAATCTCATCTATGTAAGTAATGTTGTTACATTCATTTATATATAGCTTCCAACAAAAAAGTAAAAGACCATACACATTTATTTTTAAATTTAGATCAAGATAGCATCTATCTTTATGTGCTTCATATATGTTTTCATTGATGCTAGGCCGCTAGGGTGCAAAAGCTTATTTTGAGCACATTCCATGAACATTATTGTGTCATAGATTTTACATGTACTTTGTAATTTATTTAGCAGCATTTTTACAGCAAATTAAAGATAATACAGTTGAAAAACAAGGGTCAATGTTACTGAATTTAATGGCCAGGATGACGATCGACAACACTTGGCTTATCTATTTTTGCAAAACCGCTCACATAGTCATACTATGCACTCGATTTCAGTTATATATTTGAAATCAATAATATATTGCAAACTAGCAGCTCAAAAATCAGCAGCTCAAAGATGCAACCAGTTATATATTCAACTAAAATCTGCCATATATATTTTCTAATTAATGAACTAACACTAAATCTGAAATTAAACTAAGTCATTGTTCAAGTTAAATGCTACATTCTATCTACCATGAAAAGATTGAACATAAATAGAAGCAATCTTACCTTAGGTGAAATTGACTTCACAAATTCAACAATGTCAAGCCGAAATCCCCCCTCGAATTATTGTTGCTGTAATTTCTTGACTGAAATTCGAACAATTTCTATTTATGACTGAAATGGGGGATTTCGAACCCTTAAACCCAGAAAAGACGTAATTCGAACAATTATTGTTGCTGTAATTTCTTGACTGAAACTATTGTTGTTGTAATTTCTTGACTGAAATTCGAACAAAAATTATTTATGACTAAAATGGGACGAATTTCTTAGGGTATATTGCGTCCTGGCCAAAAACCCTAGAAACCCCCCCTCGAAATCCCCTAATCGAACTTGAAGACCGAAATTGAATTTTTTGGGGTTTCTAGGGTTTGAATTCGTATGCTTTTGAGTTGATTTTTTGCTCGAAATGGGGGATTTTTGGTCGGAAACAATCAATTTTTCTGGGTTTAAGGGTTCGAATTTCTTAGGGTTTTTGTTCTAAATTTTTGCTCGAAATTGCTGGGATTTGCTGCCGATTATGGGTCTTCAACTTGACTGTGATTTTAGATGTTAAATTTGCTGGGGAATCGCAGTTTTTTGGCCTAATTTATTGGATTTCACAGACGAATTTGTGGGTGTTTTGCTATAGAAATTCATTGGAATTGAAGAACTCTTGTTTTTTTTCTTTTTGTTTAGTGAATGTAGGCGTATGTGATGAAAAACTAAAGTCAAAAAACACAAAATAACCTAAAACCAAAAGAGTTATTTGCGTCACTTTATTATAAAAAAGCGACGCAAATAACCTTGTTTATAATGTTGTACACAGCTCATATGCGTCGCTCATTTAGTAAAAGAGTGACGCAATTTACTCAATCACTTATTTGCGTCGCTTGTTAACAAATGAGTGACGCAAATAAGTTTATTAATTGCGTCGCTTTAATAAATAAGAGCGACGCAAATGATAGAAAGCTGAAATGCACTTGAGTTTTGCATCGCTTCTTGAATAATATGCGACGCAAATAACTTAAAAGGATGGTAAAAATAAACATTTGCTTCGCTCCTTAGAATGAGTGACGCAAATATGGCGACGCAAATGTAAATTTTTCTACTAGTGCATTATTATGAATACTCATATTGAAATAAAAAAACAAACATCCCTAACTTGGTGAAAGAAATCTCAAGACTCTCATATGCACAATCAAGACTCTTCCTTAAAATTAATCATTGCTTACCAATAAGGTAAATAGGACGAACCAAAACAAATAGGAAATACGGCTTAGCAAGATATGCTACGTACATTAAGTGCAAGATAAGTAAACTCAATTTACGAGCAAACATGCTTTAAAAACCATTCATAAAATTGCAATAATACTTTAATAATTTAATCCTCACAATTCCAAATCAATTCTCAAAATTCTAAAATAATTCCAGTAACTTAATTAAATAGTTCAAATAAGGTTTCAAATAATGAAAATCAATTTCTTGTAACCCGATTCCTCTCCTAAGTGTGTACACCCCGCAAGTTAGTATCTTGATATAAAAAGACTATTCTTGAGGAAAGACCTGGTCATATAAAGTCTAAAGACTTATCAACTAAATCCGCATAGTGTGATTAATTTAATCATGCTTGTAGAGCTTTAATAATAATTCAATAGTTCCTCATAGACCTCATCTTTAATTAAATCGATAAACCAATTCTTTTCAATAATAAATTCCATACTTTTATGTCAATTCTTTTAAACACGATAAATCATTCAAATATGATATTAAAACCAATTTCTAAAATATATTTAATAAAACATTTATTCCTCAAACTTATTTGTTTCATAAAATATATTTTTCAATTTAATTCAAATTCATTAAAATCACATAAAATATGTTAATCAAATCAAGCACTTTAACAAAGTATCTAGCCAGCTAAACGTATCTTGAATACTTGCTTAGCAACACACAAAGAACTCAAGTACTCTTGTCAAGAACACCCTCCAATAATTAGATATAACCTTAATTAATATATATAAGGTCATCAATGTTTAAAATAATTAAAATAAACTCCCAATTCTATGTACATGAACCATTATTTTTTTTTTTTGAAAATAAACCTTAAATATTTTTTATAACAACAAAAACAACAACAAACAAACAAACAAACAAACAAACAAACAACAACAACAACAACAAAACAACAACAAACAACAACAACAACAACACCAAAC